AAACATTATTTTCTTAAAACTAAATAAAACGTTATTAAAATTTTGCATGTTTATTATGACTCTTTGTACGTCTGGTTACCTTCATTTCAGTGTCACCCTGGAGTAACTAGAAAGTGTCGAACGATCTACGAGACGGTGAACGAGCCTGTTGTCTCCCAGCAGTGCAACACGGAGATGGAGAGGGTGTGTGAGAACAAGTATGAGACTGTTTACGAGAACACCTGCTCCTCCGAGACGGAGAACTCCTGCCACTACGTGTATGATACAGTTTACAAGGATAAATGTTACACTGTCTACAAAAGGTAATTTTTTTTATGTTTTCCAAAACAAAATTAACATTTAATTCAATTTTAAAAGTTTAAAAATATGTAAAAAAAATTCTGTTTGGATTAGAAAATTTTTAATAATAATAATTCTAGTGTTTGCGGTGGATATGGTGGCCAAGTGGGCCATGGGGGCGGAGCTATTGGGGGATACAGTGCGGGTACAGAGGAAGAGGGCGGATATGATAGGGCAGATAAGAATTTAGTTAGACGGAAAAGGGATGGATATGGAGGCGGAGGAGGGTATAATGGTGGTGGAAGTGGATACGGTGGCGGCGGATACGGGGGAGGCGGAGATGGATATGGAGGGGGCGGATATGGAGGAGGAGGGGGTGGCGGATATGGTGGAGGAGGATATGGCGGAGGAGGAGGGGGATATGGCGGAGGAGGAGGAGGATATGGCGGAGGAGGAGGCCGATATGGATGTACTAAGGTTCCGGCGGAGAAATGTGAGAAAATTCCTAAAAAGATTCCTCGCCAGCACTGTCAGAAGATACCTAAACCTTCATGTGAGAGTAAACCTAAACAGGTATTCAAACTTGGAAGACGACATTTAGATCATTTTTCGTTTGCGAAACATGCTATTAGTTATATTATGTGCAGGGTTACCCACAAAAGATGGGAATATATTGAGGACCTGAAAGTCTTTTAGCATAACTATTTGTAGGGTAAAACGCTGAAAAAGTCTTTAAAGGGAAATTTAATGGTTTTAAAAATAAGTGTGAAGCTGGTGGGAATTCTCATCTGTTGTGGGTATCTGTANATACAACCTTAGGTTTATATCCGTGGAGATTCAGAAGTGCTCGCCGTATCCTCAGAAAGTACGTCTTTAAAGGGAAATTTAATGGTTTTAAAAATAAGTGTGAAGCTGGTGGGAATTCTCATCTGTTGTGGGTATCTGTATCTTCAATATTTTGGATAAGAACAGTATTTGACTTTTTTTTGGTGTATAATCAATAAACCCCTTTTTTTCAAATATGTAAAATTTCATCCCAACCAGGCGCGTACGAGGGCATTTGTCTAGGGGGGGGGGCACAATTTGCGCGCGTGAGCGCGCCAAAAATTTGTTGGTCCTCCCCCTTGGCAACATTGTGCCCCCCCCCTTAAAAACCCCTTTTTTGAAAAAATATTGATACCTTTTTTAAAAATGTTCTGGTAAACAAATTGATTATATACACACTTTTAAGTGTTAATAAATTATTTATGTAATATTCTTAAGTGGACTTATCAGAACTCCTTTTTAATTTTTTTCTACAAATCTTTTCAATAGTTTTTCGTTTGAAATACTATCTAGTATATCTGAATGAATATTTAAACGGGCAAGGTTGCAAAGCCTTGTAGCCCCCATAGTCATCCTCAACCAGGTCATTAGCCTGCGGAGAGTGCTAAACGATCTCTCTGCCTCGCAGCTAGTGACGGGGTGGGTCATCAGGATCTGAACCATCTTCTGTACGAAGTTATGAAGAATCTGGTATAGTGATGAAAGGTTCTCAATCGGATTCTATAGCAAGTGTTATTAACTTTGTCTTACAAATAAATTCTTTTTGATTTTAGTTTGAAACTAAATTTAGCAAATTTTCAAATAATTTTGCCTTCAAGTACGTCGTTAGTTCTAAACTTGAAATACATTTGTCATTGACAATAACACTCCTTCTCTACTCTGTTGGTTAGGCGAATCTTGAATATCTTTAACTCCTCAAGGAAAACTTCCTTGTCCACAAACTCCTAAAAATATGTTACAGTAAAAAATAGTTAGCATTGACATCAGATAATAAGATTTTTCTCATGCAACATGTCAATTTTAAGATAGGAACTAAAAAATGTAATACTAGTGTAGACATTTACAAAGCAGATGTACTCCATTCTAATATCTTAATTTCTTTTCATCATTTTAATTAATATTTTCATTTGGCTTACTTGATAGTGGTCAAGAGTTGAGCTGATGTCCTCCTTTATCTGAGACAAGGGCATAAGTGCCATCTTTGTAGGGTGAAGAACAAACAGCTTGATTAATTTCTGCTGATCAGCACCAAATCTCACTTCAAAAAAATGAATGATTGCATCCAGGGCCGCCACACCTACAGAAATTCTATAAAAATCCTGTGCATCTCCGGGTATGTTGTCTCTGTGTTGTTGTTTTCCCACCCGTCGCGGTGGTAGAAGTTGAACATTAAGACATTCTGCCAAACGATTACATTCTTTCCAGTACTCGTCCCAGTGAAGATCAATATTTTCTCTCTTCTCACGCAGGTCCTAAAATATTTTTTTAACCTTTTAAAAGAAGAGAAGGATAAACTTAAGTTCTATTCTTAAAATAAGTAGTTTTCTGTTTTAGGTAAAGTGTATAGGTTGTACTGTGCATTTTATTTAAGAAGTAAGGAAGAATAAAGCTTACTAACATTAGGTCGTCGATCAGCAAATAGGCCTCAAAAACCTCAAGCTCCCGTCCTTGTAGCATGGTTGTAGGTTTTGAAATGGGTTCCAATGTAGAATGTATATTGTCTAGCCTGAGGAAGGGTTAAATGGAAGCAGATGTAATATTAAAAGACCCCCTCCTATGGGTGCCCCCCGTAAGCCTCTTAGGGGGGGCACGCGTAGGAAGGGGGGCGGCCCCCCCCTCGTACGCGCCTGATCCCAACCTTTATTTTCAACGGTGTATGCAGAGGGGGAGGGGTAGTGCCCCATCTTAGTACCCCAATTTCAATCTATGTTTTATTTCTTTAAACTAAAGAACATAATAAAACAAAAGTATGCCCCCCCCCCCCGAGATGTAATCCTGTATACGCCTCTATAAACACTTTCTATTTTTTGTAATTTTTTAGATTCCCAAGCACGAATGCCGTGATGTGCCGAAGCAGGTGTGCAAGGATATTGTGAATCAGGAGTCCCGAAGTGTGCCGAAGCATGTTTGTGACAATGTGGAGATTCAGAAGTGCTCGCCGTATCCTCAGAAAGTACCGCGGCAGGTTGGGCACAAGATTCCGCGAAACAGCTGCCAACCCATCTCTGGTGGGGGGCCTGGGGGTGGTCCAGGGGGGTATGAACTAGTCGGGGTGGTTCCAGGAGGAGGTGGAGGTTCATGTGGGGGTGGATATGGTTGTGGGAAAAGATGATTTTAGATTGCTGTTTACTATAGTATTATTATTATTTGTGTATTTATGTATACCTTGAGTCAAAACAAATGGATAGAACGTTACCTCCGAAATATATTTCATTAAATAAAAAATTTTATTTTAAAAAGACTATTTAGATAAATTCGCATTAAGATCATTAAATTTCAGCTTGAACTGAATATACAGAACGTGATTGACCCAAGATAATCTTTGACTTTTGAGATATTCCTTTGTAAATCTGGTAACACTGGAAACAAACTTAAAACATTTTTCCATAATTATGAGATTTACAAAATGTTCAGTGTCATTTTTGTACTTCAAAAGTGATTGAGATATTTAGAATTTGTTCCAGATTCAGTTCGTTAAATGTAACCGAAATTACATACATAAAGGAGAATTACATATTTATTGTTTACATTTTATTTAATATAAACTGGTGTTGGATAGTTTGTAATTTTCGACGATGAACTAACAACTTTTAGAAATAAAAATGATAGATTTATTTGTAATGTTAAAAAAATAAAAAAAAGCTTTTTGGGTTGTGAAAAAGATAAAGGTTCTACACAAAATGGGTACTTCTAAGCATAAATAATAATGGAAAAAATTTTCATCTTCTCCTATTTTATGTAATCTTAAGGGTATCCCAAAAATCTTTGGAAAAGAGTGACGACTTCGAGATCGTCTTTTAAAATGTTGCTAATGGTTTTTTAATTTTTAATCTTTCAAAATTCAGGAAACATCTTGAAGAACAGTTACAACAGTTACAAATTGGTGGGATTAATTCACATAAAATTTTCATTCAATTATTTGGCAATAGCAAACAAGTTTCAATTCTGGATTTAGATTTTTACCTTAAAATTTACTGGGGCGTTAAAAAAAAATTTTTTAAAAAGGATTTTAGAGAATTTTATTTCTATCAAAGTCGAAGAAACATGATTGAAATTTCGTGTGTGTTTTTTTAAGCCATGGTGGACGATTTGGCGTAAAGACAAAATGTCGTCTTCCTTACAAGTGTCGTCTTCCTTACATCTTTGGTGAGGAAACCAGCCAACCAATCCAAAGTAAGATTTAGAAATTAGTTTAGAATTTGATAAAATATTTAGAATTGTTCTTAAATTCTGTGTGTCGTTTTTTCATCTGATTTCTTGTTGGCGGAGAGTTTTAGGGTCCTGTCTTAGCAAACAAATGATTGGTTTAAATGTCGTCTTTTATATTCATAACCGATTATTCACAACTAAGATAAAGCTATGTATCTACGGGATGGAAGGATTAGGTTTAGGATACATTAGAAAATATCTTGTTAAACACTAAAAAAATAACATTAAGTAAACCTGTATTTAGATAAGAAGATTTTTGCATAAATTTTAAGTTTTGACATTTTTATAAAATTTTCGTAGTGTTTTACAAATCTTGATCCAGATTTTTATTCTTTTGCCAAATAAGTTTTTAATCCTCTTGTTTCTATCCATCCATGAGTATTGGTTGGTATTGATTAGGTTTCTACCTGAGAACAAGAAAGCTTGAGCTAGTTCAACACTTTACTCCAGTAGACGGATAGAAAGCTGTAGAATATTTACCTTTATTCCAGTATCTAACCTCATCTATATGGACGGGAAACATAGAGATAAGATAGATGCTGAGGATATCCAGGAGGTTCTAGCCTACCTGGAGCCTCTCATACGAGGTCGTCTTGTTCAACCGAACCAGGAGGAACTTCTTCAATCCTTTAAAGAAACGGATGGAGGTTGGGGTCATTGTAAGTTTATGGAGGTGATGAGAACCCGCCTGAAGAGAGAGATGGGAGACATGGTCAGAATGGAAGTGATGAAGGTTGTACAGACTGGAGAACTGACTCCGATATCCATGCAAACCATAGCTCCGCAAGCATTGAAGAGAATAATGGAGAGCTCCGAGTGGAGAAGTTTGGTAAGTAAAACCTCTTCTGAGGTTCATAGAGAGAGCTTAGTAGCAGCGGATAATATTAGGATGGATTGGAAAGTTTCAAATAAACCAGGATTAGGAGATAGTTTAGGATCAACCTGGAACCAGTCAAACTTCGTCTTCATGCAGGAGGAGCAGATTAAACAGGTTGTACTACAGGTCTCAGGAGGAGATGGAGATCAAGCCAGGATTCAAGCTCTCAACACTCTTCTCCAAACACAGGTCACGGATTTGATCGGAGGAGAACATTGGAGTAAACTAAAAACTGGATTAAGAAAAGCACTTGCATCAACAGATATGAAAATATGTATTCTTGCTCTCCGGGTTCATTCCAGAATACTGTTCAGCTCATCACATTTTGGGGTTAAAGAGTCGTATACTAATCTTATAGAAACTGTTCTAGGTTGGTACAATGATAGAAAATACCTGAACCTTCTCCCTGTAACCGAGCTACGTGAAAACTATCCTCTACATCACAACCTTGTAGCAGTTCTATCTCTGATATGTGCGGAGAGCAGAGAACTTCCAAGATCATGGATACGATATCCAAAAAAATACGTGAGTGAGATGATAGATAAAATGATAGAACTGATCTCCTGTAGATCGGAGATAGTTCTCTCTCCGGCTCATATTTTAGCAGTTCTTGACCCTAATATAACCTGGATAACAGAGTGGTTTCACACATTTCTGTCCAGGTCCTGTTTTCTTGTCAAGCTCTCTAAACAAACTCGATACCTGTCAAGTATTGTGGAGAACCTTCTAGAGAGAATGGAAACAAAGGAGTTTATGAGCTGGCAGGAGACAGGAAAGGATGAGAACAATATACAAGACGAAACCTCTCAACTCATATCCGGAGAAACAATAGAGTATATGATATTCACATACAACCTTAGGTTTATATCCAAGATTATTTCGTATATACACGGACGGGACCTTATATCAAGAGGGTCTTCTCTCATATCATCAATGTCAAATTTCCTATTTATGGATAGACTAGCAACTGATCCAGGACGCATTGTCTCGAACTGTTTGAAGCAAATATTTGAATCCAATCCAAAGTTATATCACGAAGATATTACGTCAATGATAGATCGGCTGTGTGGTTCCCAATTAGAGTTAGAAACTATAAAAAATGTTGTTAACTCTGTCCCGTTGATAAGTCTAGAACTAGACCGTGTCCCAAAACTATTGCAGTTCTTGTTGGATTCTGTTGAGAAGGATTCCGAGGATATCTTGTTCTCCTTGACCCTGGAACTCCTCCAGTCTCTGTTACATCAGCTTCCGGTCAGAACCTTAACCATCTTTCAAGCATTGTGTCAGGCAGTTTTCAATATAGGCATGATCCGGAGCCTGGAACCCAGGGAGCAGGACGCGTTGTCAGATTTATACAGATCTGTTGGTTTCTTCTCATCCCAACCTGAAGGTTTGGTTCAACAACCAGACATCAATCTTTTGCAATTCATGAATTCACCAGGTAAAGTTTTATACAAAAAATTACTTTTTTTTATACAAATTTTGCTATTGAAAATGGAAAGAAATATTTTATAAGGAAAATGTGTCGGGCAAAAATAACTGATTTTTTTAATTCCAGGGATGAATTCAAAAGAACGGATTTTTTTGCTTTAAACTATAATTTTATAACCCTTTATAGCTTCGTAGCCTTAATTATTTGATAATTATATAACCCTTTATAGCTTCGCAGCCTTAATTATTTGATAATTAAATTTTGACTATTTCATCTAACATAATTCATAGTTCAAAATATCAAAGTTTTACCACAGAAGTAGGTTGAAATGGAAATAACATAGATAAAGATAAATTGCGCATAAGACGACATTTTTCATCTTGAAAGATATAAATGTACAGAGATGTTTTAAAGATATTCCTATTACATAGATTAAATAGGTCGGTTGTGAACATTGGCTGTTCTTATGTCATTGAGTACTTGTGGTGTACGTGAGTTCTGTAGAGAGAAATTTAAGTTAGTTTAGTCCTTCTCATGTTATGAAATCCATTAAAACACCAAACCACCCCGCTTATCATTGAAGTGCACTATGACCCCTAGAAGTATGAGTTCGCGGACTGGACAATTCTTGGTGATTTTGCGTACATAAGCTATCTATGTTTATTTATTTTTCTATGGGAAATAAGGATTAGAAAATTTGAGTCTTTGGCAAGTAATCAGTTGCTCTCAGGATTTGCTTAATCAGAATGAAAATCTCCATATTCCAGGTTTAGAGGAGGAGATGAAAATTCTCTGGACATTTATTTCCGGAGACAAGGATCCTGGAAGACAAGGGTTCGGAGACTTTGAAGACGATATAAACCAAATCCTGACCAGGATCGGTCAAGCAATTCTGTCCAGAAACTCGATCAAGGATTGCTGGATTTTATTTGATTTCCAGGATGAAAGAATGGAGAATGATGTTTATCTAACCAGTGTTCTAAGATTATTAATCATTGGTTCAACTAAAACTGATCTTAAGGTGGAGATGAATATCCTAGGTTTAAAAGAGCAGGCGGAGCAAGAGCTAAATACTTGTTTCACGGAGGAGGATGTTATTCTAGATGAGAAATATTTTCTCCTAAAATATCTTCTGCTAGTCCTGGAAGGTATTGCTGGTCCAACGGAGAAAAACCTACCTGAGATAACGAATCCAATCCTGGAACTCAAGCCTAAGATAAATGATAAACCTTGTCGAACCCCAATCGTTCCGTCTAAACATCTTCTCCAGCTTATAGACTGGGTTAGGAAAGAGTCCTTGTATGATATTGGATGGATTGATGAATCTCGAACTTTACTCCGAAGCGTGCTAGTCCACACAACCTGCTCCTTAGAACCGGGTTTAGTTAGTCTCCTTCTCCAGGGATACACTAAATCCTCAGCAATAGAACACTTTGAAACTATCTCTGAAGATCTCTCCGAGAATGAACTCAGCCTGTGGAGCATGATCCATGAGTACGGTCGGAGAACACTAGACCTGGAGACAGACAAGGAAACCTTGATCAAGGTTGCTCAGTATGGTTTATCCTTATCTGGGAATAGTTGTTTTATTGGAACCTTGTTCCTAATGGCAGGTGGAGACGAAACCTTGTCTTGTGATCTAGTTTCATCCTTGGCTGGAACTATGCTGTGGAACGCCTATGCGAACAAGAAGCTAGGAGACTGCGTAGAGTGGATTCTCAGAGAAGAAGCTGCCAGGATATTTGTTAGATTAGATAGTTCTAATATATCTCCAGCTGTTATAGCTAATTTATGGATTCAACAAAACTTCCTCTCAATCCTTGACTTTCAGGATCTGGTCTCCTGTATGCTGGTCTGGATCCTACAAGGAGCTGATTATCTAGTCTATACAATAGTATCATACTTCTCTCACGTTCTCTCCGGACTAGAGAATATTGGAACCTACCAGCTCCAGGATATATTAACCTATAGGAAAACTAACTTTAAACCTGGAGATTATCTTTCATTCATGGAAACCCTGGCTAGTAAACACAGGAACACTGTACTTAAATTTTTAGCTACTTCGGACCAATAAAATCATTTCATTTTTAAACTGACCGTTTTTTTATTTAAATGAGGGGTCATACTTGAACTTCATATCTGTATAATATATTAATTTTTCGTAAGGTTCAGGAATATTAGATTTTAAGCTTTAAAATCGCGCAACCTCAATTCTGAATTTTGTATTTTATAGTTTAAACAATCATTTCAAACATTTTGAATCTAAATTAAATAAAAAAAGATATAAGCGTAAATGTCATTCATTCTTTTCTTTTCATTTTATTTTAGAATTAATTTTAGGATAAAAAAATAATTGAAATGAAAAGATGTTCCAGCTCTGCACAGATGCTTTATAAATGGAATTATTTTGGTGCCTCAGTAAAACTCAATTGAGTTTATCAAGAAACCATTCTGAAGTTTTTAATTACTGATTAAAGGAATTGTTTATCTATTATAAAATACTCTTAAAAATACATTTTTTAAATTAGGATTACAACTCATCACGGTAAATTAAAGGTCCTGGTTAAAAGTCAGAGAGTTTTTACTTTAGAACCTATTTTCACCCATTAAATAAAGATGTTTCGTATTTGATATTTTAGTTTTGAAGATTTAAAACCTTTCCTTTCTCAAATAATTATAATAAAAGAGTTTATGGATAGGACCGGTATCATAATGGGGTGATATGAGATGTTTTACACTCAAATATTATTATATACAACTGCCTCTCTTGGCAGAACTTCAAAATCTGTGATCATAATAGCAACACATCTTATCCTGACTTATTGCTCGTGCATGGGATTTATACAATCAAACGTTAAGGTATGCTATTTTAACTAATTCTCACTAATTGTATATTTTGTAATCCGGTTAATCTATATTAAAGTATTTAGGATTAAAGTTTTCGAATAAGAATACACAAATTTATCTTACCCATCTGTTTCATCAAAGTTCTTTTCTCTATTTTAAAAGAAAAACTGGATAATATTGTAAATGTGGAAGTTTATTTGTAGACAATATCTGTAATGTTGAAAGACTATCTTAAATGTTTAATAATTTTAATTTTAAAAAAGAAATCGTGAACAGTCTCTTGAATTTGAAAAAATGGGAAAAATCTCTTAAAATGTAGAATAATCGTGACCAGTCTCTTGAATTTGAAAAAATGGGAAAAATCTCTTAAAATGTAGAATAATCGTGAACAATCTCTTGAATTTGAAAAAATGGGAAAATCTCTTAAAATGTAGAATAATCGTGACCAGTCTCTTGAATTTGAAAAAACGGGAAAAATCTCTTAAAATGTAGAATAATCGTGAACAATCTCTTGAATTTGAAAAAATGGGAAAATATCTTAAAATGTAGAATAATCGTGACCAGTCTCATGAATTTGAAAAAACGGGAAAAATCTCTTAAAATGTAGAATAATCGTGAACAATCTCTTGAATTTGAAAAAATGGGAACAATCTCTTAAAATGTAGAATAATCGTGAACAGTCTCTTGAATTTGAAAAAATGGGAAAAATCTCTTAAAAAGATAGAATAATCGGGAACAGTCTCTTGAATTTGAAAAAATGGGAAAAATCTCTTAAATGTAGAATAATCCTGAACAGTCTCTTGAATTTAAAACGGGAAAAATCTCTTAAAACGTAGAAAAATCGTGAACAGTCTCTTGACGAACCTGTAAAAGTAAAGTAAAGGTCTAATTAACTGATTAACGTGAACATAATTAAACAAATTAGTTTTCTTCTATCAGATACATAAATATTTAGTAAATACTTCAAAATATATAAAATAAGATAAATTTTTACTTATCAATAAACCATATTATTTGGAGATATTTTTAAGATATTAACAGGACTGTAAGCGTAATTTCAAGTGGCCCTCCATGAAAATATAGCAATGCCCAATTTACAACTTTAATCGGATCAAAAATAAGGAAGATACCGTCGTTTTTCTAACTAGAACAGTGTGATATTCTCCATTGCTTTTAATAAACAAGAAATGCGCAAGTCACTTTCGCAAAGAAACTGCAAATGAAATAAATAGTTTAAAGAAACAAAAACATTGATATTTAATTTATGATTGATCAGATAAAGCTTTCAATAGTACTGTTGTAAATCGGACGTTGACATCTTTGCATGGAAGGTCACTTGAAATTACGCTTATAGTCCCTTTATTAACCGTCTGTTCACACACGTATAAATATTTATGTGTCTTTATCTCTCCTGTTTTCAATATTTAAACCATCAAAATATATATAATTCTCCAGAACCAGATTAAATTTATGAATGAAAAGTAGTTAAACTACGTAGCCATAGTTAAACCACTCTTACGTAGTTCAACTGTACGTCTTCCTATTCATTAAATGGTGTCAACGGTTGTACTTAATGAACTCGAAAACAGGGTTTAACCGAAGTAAACTAAAAATTAATTTAAAACATTTGTAAAATATTAGTTTAAAGAATTTTAGGTCTTCGTATGCTCCGTATGCACACTGTTCATGATTACTTGATCATTATTTATTAGTTTTCATTTCCAAATAAATAGTTCGATTTAAAAACATAAAATTAATAAATTGAAAAATATGTGTGTTTGTGGAACCCATAAAACTGTAGAATAGGAAGACGACTGTTAGACTCAAGTTATGATTTTCAAAAGTCCAATGAAGATGAACCACAGCAGCAATTAACTTGATAAGTTTATTTTCACAACATTCAATCACGTCAGATTTCATTCCACAGTTTCAGGGATCCTACTGTACAAGTTCATCAGGGATCCTACTGAACAAGTTCATCAGGGATCATAGTGTACAAGTTCATCAGGGATCCTACTGCACAAGTTCATCAGAGATCCTACTGTACAAGTTCATCAGGGATCCTACTGTACAAGTTCATCAGGGATCCTACTGAACAAGTTCATCAGGGATCATAGTGTACAAGTTCATCAGGGATCCTACTTACAAGTTCATCAGGGATCCTACTGTACAAGTTCATCAGGGATCCTACTGTACAAGTTCATCAGGGATCGTCGTATATACCAATTAAGACGAATTTTACTTTAATTTCTGATTTTTATCAAGTTTATCTTTGTTCACTTGTAAACTTAAATACTATAAATCAATATACTACTTTGATTTAAAAAAAATAATGCTTGAATCAGAGACTCAACATATTTGAGATATTTTAGCTATTCTTGGGATTCAACATTTTCAGAGTTGGTTTGGTTTAATCATGGTAATCCATGTATCAGTGAAATAAACACACTTTAAAGGGTTGAATACGTAATTTCCAGTGATCCTCCATTTCAAGAGTTCAATCAATATCCATCCCTAGGCTGCATAAATTCCCAAACCGAAATTGAAAAATATCAATTTTCAGAGAGATAGAAAAACAAAAATCGGGTGAATCGATTATATCACTCTTTAAATGGTGGGTCACTTTTAACAAAAATTTTCAAAAATTGTTTGGCCAAGAATATAGAAGTAGTTCTAGCCTATTACTAGGTATACTTGGTATACTAGTATACCAGGGTATAGGTATGTATACTAGGTATACTAGGTATATCAGGGTATAGGTATGTATACTAGGTATATCAGAGTATAGGTATGTATACTAGTATATCAGGGTATAAGTATGTATACTAGTATATCAGGGTATAGGTATGTATACTAGTGTATCAGAGTATAGGTATGTATACTAGGTATATCAGGGTATAGGCATGTATACTAGTATATCAGGGTATAGGTATGTATACTAGTATATCAGGGTATAGGTATGTATACTAGTATATCAGGGTATAGGTATGTATACTAGGTATACTAGGTATATTTGTTGGATCAGATAAGAGAATATTAAACAGAGTTAACTAGGACAAAATATTTAAACAACTCTATATCACCAGGTCTATATCACTAGCTCGTAAAATCAGATATCACAGAATATCTACTGAGTGTTTTTATATACATTTAAATCATGTCAAAACAGTTTTCATGATAAAATTGCTCAGTGTTCTGCTGGTTTCAAGGGTTGGATATGAGAGCTAGGATAGAGAAGGTATGGTTCGGGTTTGTAGCGGAGAGAATCCGCCGCCAGACCCGGTATCCCGGCTACCGCCAAACCTCTAGTTCATCAGTGATCAGCGGAGAGAGAGGTTGAGGAACAGCTCAGTGAAGAGAAGGGGTTAAAATGAGTTTTTACACAGTTTTACTCTACTTCCTAGTGTTAGTATACAGTGTGCAATCCATCAAATGGCTGTAAGTATATTATTTTGTATCATTTACCGGAGCAATTTTTTTCTGGTTTATAAATACAACTTTTTCAGATTTTGTGTGGTTTATAATTTGAATGTGTTTTAAACCCCTTATATTTTTTTAATTCAGATAATGTAGAGACCTTGCAGAGACATTACATAGATTTTATATGATATCTAGATATAGTTGCATAATTTGATTCTAGAATAAATATTGTACACGATCCGACCTGGTTAGCTGGGGGGGTCAACACAGGGTTTAGGTCGGCTCCTTTATATCTCTTCAAACGTCATAATTATATTCGGAACCTTTATCTTTACTTGAATTACAACACGTTGATCGTTTTTTAATAGTTTTCTACACCGAACATATATTTCTTACAAAATTTAAATTCTAACCAAAACCACTAATTTTTTATCTTATTTTCTAATTTTATATATATGTATATATGTACTTACACCTCGGCAATAAAAAATTAAAAATCTGATTTGATTAGTAAAACTCTATTTAGGAAAAGGCTACCTGTGTAGAAATAAAGAAATAAATTGAAAGAATACAACTTTCTAAAAATCTTCAGATTTTTCTAATTTTTTATTTCGTCTATTCTTAACAGGGTTCTCAGTTAGTCTATTTCTAAACCCAACTTTACTCTGGAAGAAAAGTAAAACTTATTCTAAACTAATTCGGTTTTCTTCTTTCTTTTTTAGTAGTTTATCTCTTTTTAAGGGAATAAATAAAGTCTAACTATTTTCAACCTTTTAATTTCAAATATCCAATTTTTTCTAAAATTTTTGTTATTTAATTCAAATTTTGTAATTTTTCCATCAAATTTCTTTTTATAAATAAAGCAAAAATTTGGATTTAAAATATAAGATTTTCAAAAAACTGACTAGGTTTAAACTTATTGCTAAAAGAAATTGAGTTTTTTGCCGAAAACTTTTATTTTCTCATTTCTTTGCAACACAACTTCTTAGACCTTTCATATTTCAAACTGTTAAATCGGTTTGTTCAAATAAATGTTAAAGGTTTACATTATCAGGCTGCAAAGATATTGGAACTAGTAAATTTTAGTTTGTTGCAAAAACTCAATTTTTTTGCTAATTTACAAGTATTCTAATATTAAATTGGGTTAAAATTCAAAAAAAGTTTAAACCACGTGAAAAATGTTTGAATTTAATTTTTAACGCAAATAGCGTGTTATTATTTTCTGTATTTAGGTTTACAAGAAGTTCTAAAAAATTTCGGTGTTTTTCCCAAATTTGACTTGAGCTGGGGCGAATTAGGAATGTGTTTCGTAGTTTAAAAAAGAGGAGGAGGAGGGTGGTGTCTGGGTTTAGATAAAAATATTGAAAAGAACATCTGTAACTAAGAATTGTTGGGTAAATAAGATAAAAACTTACATTTAGGAAACACGCTATATTAAGTTAATAACTCTCAAAAATAAAACTTTCATTTTTAAAGCTAATCAGAATTTACTTTTTTCAGATGGAAATAGATCTACAACTTTATAGCTTACATTTTTTCACTTAAAAAAGAATAGGATTAAGTATTTTTTAGTTTGAACCTATTCTACTTGAATAAGAAGAGGTCTAACTATATTTTTATAGTTTGAACCTATTATACTTGAATAAAAATAGGTCTAACTATATATTTATAGTTAGACCTATTATACTTGAATAAGAATAGCTTTCAGTTTTAAACTGAACATTAGATCCTAGAACCTAGATTGCTCAGTACTAGGATTAAATCCTAGAACCTAGATTTGTTTGTTCTAGGATAATATCATAGATTCTATCTGTTCCAGGATTAGAACCTGAAACCTAGACTATAGATTAGATTCTAGATTGCTCTGTACTAGGAAAAAACCTAGATTGCTCTGTACTAGAATTTTAACCTAGATCCTAGATTGCTCTTTACTAGGATCAGAACCTAGTACCTAGCTTGCTCTGAACTAAGATTATTACCTAGATCCTAGATTGCTCTTTACTAGGATGAAAACCTAGTACCTAGATTGCTCTGAACTAAGATTATTACCTAGATCCTAGATTTCTCTTTACTAGGATCAGAACCTAGAACCTAGCTTGCTCTGAACTAAGATTATTACCTAGATCCTAGATTGCTTTGAACTAGGATGATTACCTAGAACCTAGCTTGCTTTGAACTAGGATGATAACATAGATCCTAGATTGCTCTATACTAGGATTAGAACCTAGAATCTAGATTGCTCTGTACTATGATTAGAACCTAGATCCTAGATTGCTCTGAACTAGAGTCAAAACCTAGATCCCAAATTGCTCTGTACTAGGATTATAACCTAGATCTTAGATTGCTCTGTACTAGGATAAAAACCTAGATCCTAGATTGCTCTGTGCTAGAATCATAAACTAGATCCTAGATTACTCTGTACTAAACTTATAACCTAGATCCTAGATTGGTCTGAACTAAAATCATAACCTAGATCCTAGATTGCTCTGAACTAGAATCAAAACCTAGATCCTAAATTGCTCTGTACTAGAATTATAAACTAGATCCTTGATTGCTCTGTACTAGACTCATAACCTAGATCCTAGATTGGTCTGAACTAGAATCATAACCTAGATCCTAGATTGCTCTGAACTAGAATCAAAACCTAGATCCTAGATTGCTCTGTGCTAGAATTATAAACTAGATCCTTGATTGCTCTGTACTAGAATCATAACCTAGATCCTAGATTGCTCTAAACTAGAATCATAACCTAGATCCTAGATTGCTCTGTACTAGAATCAAAACCTAGATCCTAGATTGCTCTGTGCTAGAATTATAAACTAGATCCTTGATTGCTCTGTACTAGAATCTAGATCCTAGATTGCTCTAAACTAGAATCATAACCTAGATCCTAGATAGGTCTGTACTAGGATTAGAATGTACCTAGATAGGTCTGTACTAGGATTAGATTGGAATTAGAAATAAATATTTGCTTCCTCCTTTATAATGCATCAAGTGCTCATCTAATCAGAATCAACTTGAACCTTATTTAACACAAACAAATAATAAAGTTCTTATTGGAGCGGATAAACTTCGTCCAACCTTCAGATATTTACATAGGCGCAACTAAATATTTTGCGAGAATGGTTGAAATTTGGTTAATCTGAGAGTGGACCCCCCCCCCCCTTTGTAAGAGAAACTATACATAGTGAATGAATCGATTACAAAGATGAAACATAATTTAAGTTTTGCAAAAACTGTCTCAGTTTAGATAAAACAGGGAAATAACATGGCACGGACAAAATTTTTTTGCCAGATCTACTAATCTACAGATCAAAGTTTGAAGAGAAGGACTAGGCCGACCTTCTAGTTTTTGCCTGAATCATATTATTCTAATTGGTAGGTAGAGCGCTCAACCGTGCAATTTCAACCCTGTCGGAGAGAATGACATAAAGGTGTTAAACCCCTGGGAGAATTCCTTGATTGCTTTTCAACAAATCCTTCATTTTTCTCCGGAGTATAGAGAAGAGTTAGAATGGATTCCAGTAAATATAGTTTGGTTTGAGGTTCCAAGTCAACAGTTGGTTTCAAGTTGCATGCATCAGCTAGGCCTGAGAATACACCGACCTGTGATTAGGAAACCGCTCCCTGCTCCCGAGATTTGGATTACTGCAAACCTTTCTCAGTTCTTACATCTCCGCACTTTTATCCCGTTTAATTTGATCTTTGTTTCGGAACAGTTTGATCCTTTGTGTCGTCTTTGTATAGGATAATTGATAAACAGCTCTGGATTCCAGCTCCCCCCCCCTCTTCTAGGTTTATGGAGTGTCCAGTATCCCCCCTTGTATTATTATACCAGTGTCGGCACTTGTGAGTTGACCCGCGCCCCAGCTCAATCCTTTAACCTCACTTCACACGCGCCGAGCAGAGCAGAGTACCCTGAGATCCAACCTTCCACCGAACCATCTCTATTCCCAACGCAACAATAAAAACATGACATGTTCAGTGGACCGGGGCCGGGGGAGGGTTGTAAACTCTAGAATTGTACACAATAAAACTGACATTTTCTGTAGGAGGGGTGGAGAGAGGGAGGTTGGGGGTATACTAGTTGAGATATCAATCTAAATTTCACTTGTTCGCAATTAGTCAATGAATTCCTATCTCTATAACTATTGGTTCTGTCAAGTTTTCTTATGTTTTATATTATCTTATTTAAAAACACTGACTAACAACCTTCCTTAATTACATAAACATGAAATGTAGCGTAAAGATGATGTATCAGTAATTAACTAAATTTAACAAAGTTGTAAATCTTTATATTTAAATAATTTCAAATCTAAATTATATTTTTTCATTTTGTTGGAACGTGTTGAATGTGAAACCTGTTTAATCTCCAATCTTGACTAATTAATGAATTAATGAATTGATTAATTAATATTAGATATTAAACATATTTTTATGTTGAGGGTTTGGAGTGTTTATATCTAATGATCAAATTACTTTCTGCTTCTCTTTAGACTTTCATTTATTTATTTTAATACGAAAGATAATAATGCATTAGATATCTTTCACCGAATATCACACGTGGTAGTTTTCTGATAAAATTATGGCAAGCTGGATCTTTTAATCTAGGTTTCGAATAACTAACTTTTAAATACTGGAGATATTGAATTTTGCGTAGCAGTAAGAAATTCCGTTCCTTCAACCTCTGTATCGGAATGAAATTCCTTAAAATAAATTCTAAATTTTATTTAACATTTTCCATAGTTTCCTCCCATTTTATTATATTTTATACCTTTTACTTCCTTTTTCAATTTTAACCTTTCTCTTTGTTATCAATTTCCTTTTATCTTCAGAATTTTCTTCTTATTCCTTTTTTCTCTTACTTTCTTCCTCCCCTCCTATATAAATCTAAAGTTATTCTTGGTTTCGTAAATATCTTCTCTCCTTCCAACCTTCTAGCTAAACCATGGTTGTTTTGAAAAATGAGCCTCATCTCTGTGGAATCCTGTGGTTTAACCGAACCTCTGTTTATATCC